CTGGGAGGGGTGTGGGTGGGGTTTCCAGGGAGTGGCATGGGCGGGGTCTCCTGGGCAAGTCAACTAGGCCACCAGGCTGGCCAGGTCCCCCAGGCACACACCCTGCAGCTGGACACGTCTGGGCAGGACGGAGGTCTCGGGATCAGCACGTGGACCCCATTCTCCACCTGGCAGTGGTACTCCGTGCAGTTGTCCACCAGGCTGTTGACCCAAGTCTGGTTGGGCTGAAATGCAGGGGGAAGAGCGGAGGCAGAGTGGGGATCATCCCGAGGTCTGAGAAGGGCTGAGGGGAGGGTCTGCCGGGTGGAGGGCTACACCAACCCCCCTTACCTGCACCAGCCAGCCGTCGGGCGTGAGGCAGGCCGTCTGCACACACTCCCCACAGCACTGCCCGGCCACTGTCGAGTACTCGGAACCCTGGGGACCAGAGTGGTGGTCATGTCTGCACCCCTAGCCTGGCTTCCCAGCCCTCTGGTCCCCTCCTTCACGCCCCAGGGGCCTGGCAGCCTCCTCGGCAGCCCCCACACTCTGCCAGGAGGGCGGAAGCTTGTCCAGGTCTGGCTTGGAGGGTTAGGGATGCCCACTGTCCTGCCTTAGCCTTACCCTTGCTTCCTGCCCCCTCCCTGCCTACTTCTGCCTTCCTGGAACTGGCCCCTGCCCCAGCAGCTGCAGACCCCATCCACCCCTCATCCAAAACCCCAACCATCTCCCTGCTTTGTGACCTTCCTTTGAGAAAAACACCCCAGCAAAGGCTGAGCTAGAGAGCTGGCCCTGGGGTCTGGGTACCAGTGACGTGAAGATGCAGTCAGGTGGGCACCCGGGGGTCTGGGTCTGCTCACGTGGGCGGGCTAACCTGGGGACAGGTGGTATTGCAGGTGTCCTCCTCACACTGCACCGTGGGGTCCTGGGTGTCCGCAGACAGGCAGGTGCATGTGTGGCAGGGAATGGCCCCTGGGAAGGTTGCGCCAATCTNGTCATTGAGGGCACCAGGTGGGGCCCAGGGCCAGGACCTGTGCCTGGGGTGTGCTCAGAGAAGACGAGGCCCACAGAGGTGGTTTCTTTCTTCTAATGGAATTATGGACGTGTCCCTGGCTGGGCACAGACCAGGAGAGAAGCAGGACCCCTGGCAGAGGCAGGGCCCGGAGTAGGCAGGGATCCTGGGTAGGCAGGAGGGGACCGGGAGGGTGTGGTCCTGCCCCGATGATCTTCCCTGGAGGAAGCTGCTGGGAAACCCTGAAGCTAAACTCCCTACCAGGCTCTGAACAGAAGGCACCCCTCCCCATGTTCCCTTGTGTCCCCACCAAGCTCTAAAGGGTCCCCAAGCCCCTCTATTCATCTGCTCTCCTGGCAGAAGGGGGCACACACGGCTGGGCATGTTGAGATAAGGAGTGGAGGTCTAGGGGGACCTGGGCACCCCACAGTGGATGTGCCACCAGGCCACCTTACCCCATAGATGATGCCATTGTAGGTACACAGCTTAGGCCCTGGAAGGGAAGGGAGGGCTGAGGGCCTGCCTGGGTGGTGGGAGGAGGTGCTCCCACACCTCGTGCCCCAAACACCACCCCGAGAATCCCCAGGCCCCCACCCCACTCACGGCAGATGAAGGTGGGGCAGCAGCTGCCCTCCTCCTGGATTTGGGCCAGCTCCTCTCCTGGCCCACATTCTGGGGGGTTCTTGGGGCAGGTGGTCGTGTTGCAGACTGTGGGAGAGGCGGGGTGCTGTCAGGGGTGAC